CATGTGGCTTATGCAGGATAGATGTATGAATATATGCAGGCATGCCCATATGATGTATGATTATCAGCTTATTTCCTTGGGCATCTTTCTGTAGTTTTGGACATCCTTCCACTTCAAACCTATTTTTGCCATTTATTAGCTCTGTGATTTGGGAAAGCCACTCTATCTCCCTGAGTTTTATTTTAATAAACTGGGACAATAATAATGCGCGTTCCATCAACTGGTGCCACATAATGTATGAGATAAAAGTACAGTGTCATTCTGGTTTTTATTGTTATCATTGGAAATGAGATTTTATGTATTTATTTATTTATTTATTTATTCATAGAAGTTTATTTATTTTGAGAGAGAGCACGCGCACGCGTGTGTGCAAGCAGGGGAGGTGCGGAGAGATCGGAAGGGAGAGAAGCTCCAGCAGGCTCCTGTTGTCAGAGCAGAGCCCCACCTGGGGCTTAATCTCAAGAACCTTGAGATGGTGACCTGAGCTGAAATCCAGAGTCAGATGCTTAACCAACTGAGCCACCTAGGCGCCCCGGAAATGAGATTCTTTAGAGCCAGAGTTTGGTAATGTGAAGTTTACAGGTCAGATTTAGTTTCTAGATTTGTTTTCCTTGGCAGTTTTCCCCTCCAGATTTAACTACGTTTATGTGGGCATGCACACTCCAAGCTGCTCCCTGCTGTCTCACACCTGGCCTCACTTCCTTCAGGTGGTGGGCTTCCTGAGCTGCAGAATGTATCCAAGTTTCTAGACTTCAGTTAAGCACGTGAGGCCACGGTCTTGGAACCTATGTCCACAAGGTGGTAGATTCGGCCCCTAGGAGGAAATAAACAGCGTTTGGCCCCCCACCCCCATTTACGCCTGCATAAAGTGACATCGGTCATTATTAATGTTGTGGGGGGAACCCTAGAAGACGGGATGCTTGGACTATTCATTCTCTTCCATAGTGGCAAGATCTTGAATAGATGGATAGATGGGCCAATGGATGAGTGAATAAGAAGACCTTGAAGGAATCAGATGGGATAACACAGGCCTAGATGTCCCTTGGCCCCAGATCAAAACTGAAGCAGCAAAAAGTGGAAGTTCTGTTCCAGATTGGGAGTGCATGGGGTATAAAACACATCTAATGTCACTATTTGATTATAGTACAAAATGGAAACTATTGTCAATTTTTTTTTTAAATCAAGATCTAAAAAATTTCCAACCATAAATATCACCACAAATCTCTGAGAAACTTGGGTAGGAGTTTCTTTCTGCTTGACGTCACCCTTGAAATATATTTCTAAGAATTCCAACGATTATTCTTAGAACAACACGATGACATAGATTGGGTCTGAATGAAGCAAACCAAAATGGCTTGTTCACAGAAGACTGTTAGGAGCTTGGACTTCCTAAGAATGCCAGAGGGTAGGTATCACTTCTGAGGTAAAGTTTTTGTTCCTTTTTTCTGTTTTATTCAAGAGAAACCGATAATGATTCTTGACAAAACAGGTCTGACTCATTCTATTATTCATTTGTTCTGTGATCCTGTGTGTACATGTTTCGTCTTCAGGCACATTTTGTGCCTGAGAGCTTGAGAGAGCAATGACTAAACTTGCATTTTATTTGAGAATCTTCTTTCCACTTGTAAGACCTCATAAGCCAGAGACAGCCATAAGCAAATATGTAAGAACCAGGATCCAGACACAAGGTGGTACGTAACCCAGACATCTATCTTCCCAGTGATCTCAAGAAGTTGGAGGTCCTCCTTCCCCAAAGGGCTACAAGTTCTTGACAAATAGGAATAGAAATGAAGGGGTATAGGGCTAAACTCTTTCAAAGATATAGTAGTGTTCCCAAATATTTGAATGGCCATCTACTGGGGAGTGAAATAGAAACGCAGCTGTGCTTTAAGGTGCAACATCTACCTTGGCAAATCCTGCTAGCTGACCCAGAAGAGTTCATTCATCACTGTTCTGTGCTCCTAGAACATTCAATAGCAGGTGTTGTTGATAGCTTTTGTGACACTGTGTAATCATTAACAATGAGCCTATGTTCCTCTCTGGTTTTGACTTCAGCAGGGAGTTCTCAATGCCTAAGCACAGTTCCTAGTATGTCATAGACACTCAATAAGTTTGTTGAATGAAAGAATACATGAGTGAATAAAAACTAAATGAATAAAGAAGAATATTTAGATAGAAATTTCAGGAAGGTGAATGGAGATTTTCTAGGTAGGTCTTTCCCCAGTGGAATGTCTATTTCTCAAAGTTGTGATCTTTGCACCTGATGGAAAGCCTATCACCAGCTAGCGCTGACCTTTACTGCTCACTTGCTTGTACTTAGGGACTTACGTCCCACATTTTTCCTTAAGCTCTTCTTTCCAGCTTACCTTTGAACTGAGGCAAAAAGCCTGAAGGGCACAGCACCCCATGACAAAAACCAAAACTACTCCTCAAACAATAATTGCCCATGCGAAGAACTGTGGCCCAGAAGGTCCAGACCAGTTTGAGCTCAACCCCTGACTCACACCAGTGCAGATGGACCATGGAGTGACCCACAGAGTAACCAACGATTACCTTTACCTCATTACAATATTAAAATCTCTCCTCCGAGAGGAACACAGGCCTCATTTATAAAACATACAATGTATATATAGGTATATTTCCTTAAGACACATGTATGACCTCATGCCTGGCTCTACATACATGACAAGGCTCCCCTTTCTAAATATTCATCCTAACCCTAAATAAAGGGATCCCACTCACCCTTGCTAGGGAAGTTATTCACCACGATCTCCGTATTTGCTGCACATGAAGTCTTTTTTTTGTGAGATAGCTCACCTGGTGTAGCTTCTACCTGTGACTCACCAAGGAGTGAAATCACGTTAGTTTGGTTACAAGGCTAGGGAAGAAAGGCTGAAGACACACGGTCTCCCAGATCCTTTTCCATGCTAGCACATTATTTGAGTTTTTACAGATGAGGAACCTGAGCTCAGAGTCCGAGTAACTTACTCAAAGCCTCCAAAAGTAAGTGGTGAAACCAGGATTTGAATGCTGACCTGTATGAAGCCCAAACTGTGTTTTCTCCTAGAAGACACTCTCCAGCTCCAAGGCACCACTTCAGCAGAGACTGAACTACAGTCTAAGACGTGATGGAGAAGAAGTTCCTGTAGTCTAGGTCAGATTTGAGCACCGAGATGCGTGCTCAACACCGAGTTAATAGGATTCTTCGAAGAAGCAATGTCATAGTAATACGTATCCCTGTGAGCTGGATATACAGCACGGGCTGCAGTGATACTGCCTAAAAGATGGTAATGCATTTGCTAGAGCGAGCTTTGAAGGAAAAAATGGAAAAGAAAATACTTAAGAATTTTAGCTCAGTTTCTAGAAAATGTAATCCTTGATCTTTCACCTACTGCGGGAAGCTTCCTTTGCGGCCAACAATAGAAAACCATCGCCACCCTCCATTAAGATCCTTATTGCCCTTTCCATATGGAAAGCTGGCATCTGCATTAAAATGCAATTATCTTTCACTTCTAGCCGACTACTCAGCTACACTTAATTAATTCTTTCCTTTTCAAGTTCAGCATTAGTACTTTCTGGAGGAATTCCAGATTTTAACAGATAGACCATCCAGGAAAAGCCCAGGCCTAAGTGACTGGAGAGAGCTCCATTTCGCATCCACATATCCGAGTGCCCCTTGGTATTAATCCAAGACGTAATCTCAGCTCTGGAGCCAGCTGCGTCCACGCCTGCAGGTGAGTGGGAAGAGAAGGTCTGCTCCTGGTGACCGGTGACCAGAAACACAGTCCTCAACCTCCACAAGCCAGCATCCTTTTGTGAAATTCAAGATGAGGCTGCTGCAAGGTTTGGTTGCTTTGATTGTTACCTAAGAGGGAATAGGAGGACCCTTACTTCCTGAGAGCGAAAAGAATAAATGAAAGCATGGTGTCCAAATGAGGTCTATGGAGTTATTCTGCTTCCCTTTGCCACAGTGGTCTATGTCGCATCGCACACTAAGAACAATCACACGCTAAGAAGAACTTCCGGAACAGTATGGTCCGTTAAAAGCGCCGTGTCTGTTTCTGAAATTAAGCTCTTGGGAATCGATGTAATCCTTGTCTTTGAAGGAAACCTCCTCTTAGAAGGAAGAAGAGTATATGTGCACTGCCAATGTACTACCTCATTATTACCCAATAATAAAGATAGGATTTATGAAGCATAGTGAGCTATATGGTTTATATATTATTGAATTCTTTAGCTCAGTGGCGTTGTATGCTGCAGCCACATGGGTGGTCATTTTCTCCTTCTCCTTGAATATACCAGACTTGCTCTTGCCTCAGGCCCTTTGCACTTGCTGCCCCTGCTCATTCTTTAGTTTTCAGAACAAATAATTTCTCTATGAAGATTTTTTTTTTTCTCACTTCTGGAGCACTGGTACTCCTTTCCAACCTCACCATTTGTCTCTCTGCCTCCCACAGCCCCATTTCTTTTCTTCACTCCAGATTTTACCCACTGATTCCATTCTGTTGATTTTTTTCTTTGTGTATTTTCTCTTATTTTTCCTTTGTTGAAAGTGAGTTTTGTGAAAGCAAAAACTCAGGTTGTGTTGTTTTCCAGCGGATCTCTAAAGTCGAGAAGAGTTCTTGACTCATATCAGATACTCCATAAACACTGGAATGGATGATGACTGGATGAACACACTCTTTGATTAAAAAGCCCAAAAGGGGAGGGGCTCCTAGATGGCTCAGTCAGTTAAGGGTCCAACTCTTGATTTCGGCTTAGGTCATGATCTTGTGGCTCGTGAGATCAAGCCCCGAGCAGAACAGAGCCCTGCGTCGGGCTCTGTGCGGACATCATGAAGCCTGCTTGGGATTCTCTCTCTCCCTCTCTCTCTCTGCCTCTCCCCCCCCCCCCCCCATTTTCTCTCTCTCTCAAAATCAATAAAAAAAAAAATTAACAACAACAACAACAAATCCAAGAGGGAAAAACAAAACTCAAGGAGGAAAGGGATATCTACTCACCTGCACCACACCTGTACAGGAATCCAAAAAGATGCAGCCTTTGGGCTCTTTGGATATCTTTTCATCTTTGTAAAAATTCATGATGTAGGAGTTATCTGGCAACTGAGTCAGCTGGAAGTAGCGCTTTTTGAATGACTAAAGAAAGGGGAAGAAATAGACAGGTAGTTCAAAATGCAGTGTGCTATTACAGAAATTAGAAATGCTGAAATTCCTTCGGGCGCGCTACATTCTTGGGCACTGTTCTAGGGAACAGCGTCCTCCTCCCTCATAAATAAAATATGACCCGAAACATAAACTCGATGCAAATGACACTCCTCTGTGCTGTGACCAGAGGAGGGGGTGTCCAAGAACTGGCAGAAACAAAGATGAGCCTTGATGTCTCCTTACCCGAACAGTAACGGTATTGTTCACGGTGCTATTGAAATTCCCCTTGTAGAGCCAGCCAGACTTGAAAACTCCGGTTCCTCCAGCTCCCCCACCGCCCTTAGAAGATGAGTGGGAGGTGGTATCCTGTGGAAGAGGAATCAAGGGCATGACTGCAACCTTTTGTGAATCCCACATCTTAGACGCTGCACTTACAAATGAGCCTCCTTTTTCTCTCTTCGACGCGTCTTAAATAATCATGTTCCATTTCAAAGCAAACGTGACTCATTTGGACTCAAAGCCCTTCCACAAATAGTTATGGCAGCTTCCTTGTAAAAGTGGTCAGAATGTGGAATACTCTAGTGGAAGACAGGAACTAATTGTCCTCCTGATTTAAACACTTAGCTTTCAGTAATTTACTTACTTCATCCTTATCAGCGTCTTCATGGTCCACCTCAAAGGAATGTGAAGGAAGTTTCTCTGGTTTGTATTCTGCTCTGAGAGTAAAGAAAAAAAAAAAAAAGAGTTTCTGATTTGTCATTTGAGACCTGACTTTCATTTTCTGCTGTTCCCCTTGGTAACAACCGTTGTGTTTTTCGAAAAAATAATGTAATCTTGTGAGGGCCCGATTTCCTTTGGAAGCATTAACTTTCTGCTACACCATTACACTTTATCTCCGGTAAATAAATCTCTGTTTTAAACCGTGGAGTTACTATTTATACAGATTTACACATGTCGTCTTGAATGAGATGAAGGCAAGCAGGACAATTTTAAGGCTCTGGTGGTTTATATGCTTCTTCCTCTACCTTCTGCAGTGGAATATGAAGGAGTGCTGTTTTCATTTCCATTTCACCATTACATGGCGTGTCTTAAGGGTACGGGATGGCCATTGGAAAAACCATGTTCCCGAGAACCAGCCCGTGCTCTGGCCGCTAGGTTGCGCTGTTCCCCTAACAGTGGCCTCCCCTGAAGTCTGCCCCAACTTGATTAAGCCGAAGGGTGCTCGCTTTGTGCCTTTCCATGGTAGTCCTGAAATGCTGACCAGCCCAGAAGAGTCAGCGTGTGCACCTGATACTATCAATGGCAAAACAGGAGAAAGGTAAACTTCCTGTGGCTTGATTCTATTTCACAAGTCATGGCTGGATGGAGAGTGGTCAACAGCGTCTGAGGTTCAGACATTCCTTGATACTTAGAGAGAGAACCCTACGTGTAGAGTTGGCCTGGAATATTTATTTTCTTTAAGGTGATTTATGTTGTGTAGAAGCAACTTGGGAATCTGACTATTGAGCAAAAAAGTCCAGGGGTGCTCTTTGAGTTATTCCTGTTACAAATCTTTTCCTATGTTGATGGTTTTCCAGATAGGAAGGGGCATGACCAAGACCTCTTTATACTTCAGTATGCATAAAATTACCAGACTGCATTCACATAGGGATTCGGTGGATTCAAGTGGGTTCAAAATACTCTTTACCTTTCCTCTGAAAGACATGAAAATGCCCATTCCTGGTTCACAGCAGGGCAGGTAGGGGCACAGACAGAACACTGACCTTGCTAATAAAACGGAAAAGCCTGAGATCAGAGTCACATTCTCTATAACTGATAATAGATTTTTTTTTCAATTGTGATAAAATATACATAACAGAAAAATTACGATTTTAACCATTTTTACGTGTACAGATCAGTGGCACAAAGTACGTTCACGGTGTTGTGCAACCATCACAAAAGTCCGTCTCGTTCCCAAAGTGACGCTGTACCCATTACACAACAGTTCCATATCTCTCCCTTCCCCCACCCCCGGTAACCACTGTTCTACTTTATGCCTCTCTGTATTTGGCTATTCTGGGCACCTCATCTTATGTTTCATTGTGTGTCTGGCTGATTTCACTTATTGTAAAATGCCCTCAAGGTTCATTCGTGTCGTGGCCAGTATTAGGATTTCATTCTTATATAAGGCCAGATAATATTCTACTGTAGCCTAAAAAGAGTTCACACCCCCAAAGTTGTTTCCATGAAGACACCGTGGAATCTTAAAAATTAGGACTCTCTCCATGTAGATGCTGGGTACATGTCTATTAGGACGCTTACTTGAATCTGTTAATTCCCTCCACCAGATCACATTTTTTTTTAGTTTTATTTATTTATTTACTTATTTATTTATTTTGAAAGAGAGAGAACCAGCAGGGGAGGGGTAAAGAGAGAGCGAGACAGAGGATCTGAAGCAGGCTCTGTGCTGTCAGCAGAGAGCCCAATGCAGGGCTCAAACTCATGAACTCTGAGATCATGACCTGAGCCGAAGTTGGATGCTTAACCAACTGAGACACCCAGGTGCCCCAAGATTACATGTTTCTTAAAGCCAGAGACTCCAATGAAGTCCCATCTACCGCGTCCCCAAGCTTTTGTCTTTTTCTACTGTAGGGATGCTCAGTATGCATTTGCTGATTGCATCAGTGCTAGGCAAGGTGAACAAGGAGATCAGAGAAGCAAAATAAGACAGCATGATATAATTTAAAACTGTTTTTGGAAGACATCTTGGGGACGCTAAAACACATATTTTTGGTGGCCAACGTCCTAAGACGCACCTCCAGTGTGTTAAAAGAGGTTTTGAAAAACGATCTTAGTACTGTGAATTTATTTTATAAATTCAGATTATATGTTACTTGCTACCAAAACCAAAAGCTAAGAAAAATAAAGCTATTCTGGGGTACACAGTAGTTGATATTGTGTATCAAGGATGGTATCTGGGGTCTCCCTTCAGCCCCAGTCCCAATTTCTTTGTCCATTTTTGTTCAGTTGTATAGCCTTGATATGAAATCCCAAGACCCGTAGGTAAGTAGTTGTAAATGGTAACGGGCTTATTTAAGAGCCCGAGGCTTGAAAGAAGGGTGGTAGGAGATGTGTATTTTAAATTTATCTCCCCCATAGGTTCTGGCACATGGTAAGAACAGAATAAGTATTTGTCCACTGATATATATGAAATTATTCGAATGGGTATACATTATTCCAAATTCCAGAAATATACATACATAATGCAGCCTTGTTCATCCAAGACTTATTTGTAGGTTCAAAGAAGTTGAAAACTCTATACCAAGATAGCAGAACTTCTGTACTTAAGTTTAAATATGTACTATGCAGCATATAGCTTTTTAGTGAATTATATATGTGTGTAATCAGACGTTTGTGTACGAATACTAGAACTTCACAGTCCAGTGTAATTTGGGTGTTGTACTGAGAAGAAAACGAAGTCCGTAACAGCTACATAAACACACAGTGGAAGAAGTTGGACTAGAAGTCCTATTTTCTAAAATGCTACTTGCTGTATATAGGGTAAGTTAATCAAACCATCTTTAATAAGAACATTAAGTAGGACTGGAGCCATTATTCTCTTCCAAAGGATCGTGGTGTATCTGTACTCCATTCTCTTTCTTACAGAGCCTTAGGGATACTCGAGCTTATCTGTGTCAGTTGCCCCCAATGTTAACTTGTTCTGCCTCTTTTGGTTATGGTCAACTTATGTGAAGGCTGAGCCACTCGCAGGTGACAGTGTTACTTTAGGACCACTGGGAAATGTTTCCTATCCTACCCAAAATATCCCTTTTCTCCAAAAGAGCCTAACAACATCTTGACAATCCTAAACAAAAGCAATCACTTTCACCTTTTCATTTGGTTGGCAAAATAAAGCCCCTAAACACAACCCTTTCCTCTCTTCCCTCATCCAGCAAGGCAACACATTGCCTGAAATTCAGGGGCAGGTTCAAATGGCTGACTTCAGAGCAATTACTCCAAGCGTTTTGTCTGCAGAGATGGGAACATGAGTGTTCCAGGATTCTTAAAATGATAGCAGGGCAGTAAAGGGAGTACTAAAGAAACATCCTAAGTGAAAGATAAAAGCATTCGTAGGGAAAACTAAGGAAGAGGCAGCACAGATAAACTTGAACATGGAAGGTCAACATCTGGCTCAGGGGTCATCCTATGCTCTATGCTAATTATTTCCTACTAGTCTCCCTGTGACCTTGGTACAATTCTGTTTCTGAACTTCTTATTCTGTCCTCTACTGCCAGCATGACTTACCCTTTCTTCTCTTTCTTACAAAAGACTAAGTTTATAGGCATTTGTTCTTGGTAATAGTGGATCACAGTAGTGGCCATGTTCCTCAAATATATCGAGATAGATAGATAGATAGATAGATAGATAGATTGATAGATAGATATCTCATGTTTTCTTTATCCATTCATGCATCAACGGACATTTAAGTTGTTTCCATGTCTTGGCTATTATAAACAATGCTGCAGTGAACATAGCATGCATGTATCTTTTTGCATTAATGTTTTTGTTTTCTTTGGATAAATACCCAGAAGTGGAGTTGCCAGGTCATATGGGAGTTCTGTTTTTAATTTTTTGAGGGACCCCATACAGTTTTGCATAGTGGCTGCACCAGTTTACATTCCCACCAATAGTGCATGAGGGTTCCCCTTTTTCAACATCCTAATTAACACTTGTTATTTCTTGTCCTTTTGATACTAACCATTCTAATAGGTGGGAGGTGGAATCTCCTTGTGGTTTTGATTTGTATTTTCCTGATGACTAGTGTTGTTGAGCACCTTTCCAGGTACCGGTTGGCCACTGTCTGCTTTCCTTGGAAAAATGTTTATTCAGATCCTTTGCCCACTTTTTAGCTGGATTGTTATATTTTTTGTTATTGAATTGTATGAGTTTTTTGTATATTTTGGATATTAGTCATCAGATATATGATTTGCAAATATTTCCTCCCATTCTGAAGGTTGCTTTTTCATTATGTTGATGGTTTCCTTCGCTGTGCTGAAGCTTTTGAGTTTGATGCAAGGCCACTTGTTCATTTTTACTTGGAATGCAGTCGGATCCAAAAACTCATTGCCAAGACTGATGCCCCGGAGGTTACCATCTAGTTTTCTTCTAGGAGTTTTATGGTTCCAGGTCTCACATTCAAGTCTTTAATCCACTTTGAATTAATTTTTGTGTCCAGTGTAAGAAGTGGCCCATTTCCATTCTTTTGTACATGTCTGTCCAGTTTTCCCAACACTATTTATTGAAGAGACTGTCCTTTCCCCACGGTATAGACTTGGCTCCTTTGTCATCATGTAGTTTTTGTCATTCTTGTCTCTCGTGAATCACAAATTCAGCGCTGGATTTTATGTATGAAGGCTTACATTTTACATTCTAGCCTGAAATAATGTGTCTCTCCACTATCCTTCTATGAACAGATACTCAAAAAAAAAAAAAAAAAAGTGAGGTTCTGAAAAACACAATAACACAATTTCAAATTTAAAGAATAAAAATTAGGTGAATAAACACACTTCGGTTTTCACTCTTCCACAATTGCAAGGTTTCATTTTGTAGCCTCAGCAACCCATAAAAAGAAATGATCAGTTTAAATTGGTAGCGGGCATTGGAGAATTCTTCTAATCCAGGAGGCACGAACATGATTTACTTCTAATAGCCTCTGAAGGCCAACTAAATGATCTGTTTCTACTACTGACCTAAATATGTGTGTAGTCTTTAATGGGGAGTGCTTCACTTTGTAAAATCATTTAAAACAAGATTCTTTTCATTCAGTCTTACAGTCTTCATCATTTCAGGGGATGTGTGAAGATTACATTCTAGAACTTCTGATTTTCACATAGTTCATTGAAATCTCTGACTTTGTGGCAGGAGTATTCTTCCCCTTCGTGGTATCAACTTCTACTTCCTTTAGTTAATTAAGGGAAATTCTCAACAATATTTTCGTTACTTTTGTCTACTTCTCATGAGGTTCTTCTCATGCTCTATGATATCCAGACCTCGTTTTTGTTCGAGGTGGTTCCTCTGTTGTTTTAATGGAGAACGAATACCGTGAAGGCAAAATCTCTCATATATTTTTTTCTTGATGGCATCATGAAGATAAAGAAAAGATGTTTGGGGATCAAGCTGCTAAAGATTCCAACAGACCTGAAGTCAGTGGGAAGGCACGTACTTGGAAGGGCAGCTAAATGCCACCTTCTACAATCTCTCACTTCATATGAGATCTTCCAACCGCTTGGACGCAGTTTCCAAGTCGTGACCACTTCTCAGAACCGTTTTCAGAAAGAGGAAGTCTCGATGGTAAAAAAAAAAAATACTTTTCTTTTCAATTGTGCCTACAAAACGTGTGTGACTAAGGCCCAGACACTCTGAATATACATAGTAATTACTCACGAAAGCCGGGGGTATGGTAGACCTCCTTAGCACGAAAGTCCATACGGGAGGTTATATCAGGGGTGACCTGAATTTAAGGGGATGTCCAGAGATTTGGTAAAAGTTAATGTTGGCTGTTTGCAAAAAGGTTTGCTGCTTTGGAGGAACATCGTTTTGTTCTTTACAGTAATGCAACCGAAAAATACTGGGCGCCTGGGTGGCTCAGTCGGTTACATGTCCGACTTCTTGATTTCAGCTCAGGTCATGATCTCGTTGTTTGTGAGACTGAGCCCCGAAATGGGCTCTGCGCTGATAACGTGGAGCTTGCTTGGGATTCTCTCTTCTTCCTTCTCTGCCCTTCCCTGGCTCTCTCTCTCTCTCTCTCAAAATAAATAAAAACTTAAAGAAATAAAGAAATAGAATAGCCTCCTTCCCATTCACATCTTTCTTTTTTTTCCTGTATGCTCACTGCTACAATCCCATTCTCCTTAGAGTACACCAAATGATCTTTTAAAGAATTAAACCGGATCACATCACGCTCTAGGCTAAAATTTCCACAGGCTTCTGTTGCAGTGGGAATGAATCCAAGCTCTCTCTTCCAGGGCCCGCCAGGTCCCTTGCCTCGTTCCATGGTTTCACTTCACTATAACCTTTCCACCTCAGTTCCAGCCTCCCCATTCTGCTCAAGAGACCATGCTGGTTCCAAGGTCAGGGCCCCTGCCCTTGCTGTTTCCTCTGGGAATCCTTTCCCAAGACCATAGTGCTGGGAGCTACTGTCCCTTCAGGTCTGAGCTCAGACGCTACCTTCTCTGAACTATTCTGCAGCCCCTTCAAATTCTGCATTTGTGGGTAGAGAGCAGCCCATCCAAGTAGCCAAGCCTGGAACAGCTGCTGCTGGGGGCATGGGAAATTTGTGCAAATAGTGCCCAAATCTAAACCACGTGTCCACGTAGGGGTGCCTGGGCTGCTCAGTCAGTTGAGTGTCTGACTTTGGCTCAGGTCATGATCTTGTGGGTCATGAGATGGAGCCCCATGTCAGGCTCTGTGCTGACAGCTCAGAGCCTGGAGCCTGCTTCAGATTCTGTGTCTCCCTCTCTCTCTGCCCCTACCCCACTCACACACTGTCTCTCTCTCTCTCTCTCAAAAAGAAACATAAAAAAAAAAAAATAAACCACACGCCCACTAAAAAGTTAGACGCAACAAGTACCTTCTCGATGCCTTCACTTGAGGGAAGTGTTAATAACTTCGCTTTTGATTGTTGTGTTTTTCTGGATTACTTGCATTGTTTTAGTTAGATGAACCAATGTGTTAGGAGATTCCAATTCATCGCAGTTCTTTGAATTCGAGCAACTCCAATCCCTTCCATGAATATTATATTTCTTTTCTTTCTTTTTTTAAAGGAATGCTGTATTTCAAAATTTGCCATTCACTTACTTTACTTATTCAATAAGTCATTATTACACACTTACCAGAGGCCAGGCATTCTCCTCCCTTGTAGGGGATTCTGCAAGGAAAAGTCCCTGCCCTTTGGGGATTTTTGCTTTAGTGGGGGACACAGACACTGAATAAATGACTACTTTAGTTCAGGTAGTAGGTCAGGCAAGCTTGTCTGTGAAGGTGACGTTTGAACAGGTACAGAACAAAGACACCTTCTCCCAAAGACTTTACTTGGTCCAGAAGAAAAAAAAAGCTGTTAATTTTTCCCTTTTTGCTGTTCTTAGACATGTAACATTTCTGCAGAGGTTGTCTACTTTCATGACTCTAGGTATCCCAGCATGGAAATACGTGAAGCCAGTGGCAAATCTGAATGCTAAATACAGAATATCCTCAGACACATGTTTTGGTCTACACTGTTCTTTTCCAGTCCTGTTGTATCTGCTCTATTGAAATAACAGCTCACAAAAGAGTGATAGAGTAACACTTCAAGAATTTGTTCAGGGACACCTGGGTGGTTCAGTTTGTTGAGCATCCGATTTCGGCTCCGGTCATGACATCGCGGTTTGTGAGTTCAAGCCCCACATCGGGCTTGCTGCTGTCACGGCAGAGCCCGCTTCGGATTCTCTGTCCCTCTCTCTCTGCCCCTCTCCAACTTGTACTCTCCCCAAAATAAATATATATTTAAAAAAAAAGACTTTGTTAGAAAATTAAATAAGAATACATTTGTATCTTACAAGAATACACTTGATCTTACAATCAACTCTGTTCATATACAACAAAATGTACATTGTTGACCAAAATGCTGTATCATGACTCCTATTTTTAAATTTTGTAAAATAGACCTTGACACTAGTTAACGTGCATGTATTCATGAACAACTGTAGAACTTAAACTGAGAACGTATTTTATACATGGAAAAACCCATTTATATATGACAGGTTCTTACCGGGGTAACTGTCGGAAGTCTCCAGAATATTGTTCATATTTGTAGTTTACCACATACCATTGGGAGCTATAAAATTTACAAGCCTAAAAGAAAAAAAATGACAATTAAAAATTATCATTAAAAAAAATTAGCCGTCTTGGCAAAAAGCACAGCGAATACACTTCATGTCATCTCTGGGGTAGTGTTAACAGGGAGCTATATTAGCGATTTTAAGGTAGGGAAGGGGCTGGGTGATGATAATCATTTCATATTTTCTAGTGAAATGGAAATCTAACCTTTCCCAGACTCTTGGAGGAGGAACCATTTAACATATTTATTCTATTTTACGCCATCAAGGAAAGTCTAATTTAATCAGCCCATGAATCATACCAGATTCATTACTAACCTCAAGTACAGTCACGTTTTAGTTTTCCTTAGCAACCTTCCATTATTTAACAGCTCTTACTGGTAGAAGATATCATTATTTCTATGTAATCTTTTCATTGTAACTTTAGCCCATTTCTTCTTGTCCTTGCATCAGTAACTTATCTCTTCCCCTCTATGTCAGCTGGACTGTCAATTTGAAATCAGTTTTTCAGTTTTACCTCAATGCCTTCTAAGGGTTAGCCTTCTCCATTATTACTCACTGATTTTTATAGATGGGTAGGAATAAAACATGACAAGCGACTTTTTGAGAAACAAAGTTAAGAGTATAAAATAACTATCTTACAGTAGTACATAATGGCTGATTTTGCAATGCTGATTGATGGCAAATATTTCCCAAGCACCAGCCATGGACCTGGCAGTGGTAGACCACAGAGTAGTAATGGGGATTTCACTAGGTGGCTTTTAAGATTGCTTTCTTTCTTCCTTTCTTTCTTTCTTTCTTTCTTTCTTTCTTTCTTTCTTTCTTTCTTTCTTTCTTATCTATTTTCAAGAGAGAGAAAGAGAGAGAGAGAATAAGCAGGGGACAGGCAGAGAACCAGGGGGACAGAGGGTCTGAAGGGGTTCCTTGGTGCTAACAGCAGAGAGCCTGATGCGGGGCTTGAACTCAGGAACCGCAAGCTCATGACCTGAGCCAAAGTCGGTCGCTTCACTGACTGAGCCACCCAGGCACCCCTCAGATTCCTTTTGATCCTAAAATTACAGGAACCTGGGGATAAAGCATCTGGCATGAGGATTATAAGGAGATCTTGTCCTCTACGGTGAAGAAAATGAGGATCAATGAGCTTCCCACAAGGTGAGAAGTAACGACCTGTGGCTGTCTGGAACCGGGAAGGGGACAGGCAAGGAAAGCAGTGGGAGAAGAGTCACTTGGGGTGTGGAAGCGCCAGAAGCAAAGGAAACACTGCGGGGAGCCCTGGGTGCGCGCATCTGGCTCGAGATGCAGGGGGCCCCTGCGTGGCTCAGTCGGTTAAGCGTCTGATGTTGGCTCACGGTTCATGGGTTTAAGACCCATGTTGGGCTCTGTGCTAACAGCTCAGAGCCTGGAGCCTGCTTCGGATTCTCTGTCTCCCCCTGTCTCTGCCTCTCCCCACCTCTCAAAAATAAAAAATTGACATTAAAATTGAAAAAAAAAAAGTGCAGGGAAAGGCAGGGAGAAGGGAGAGTGGTTGGGTACCCTCGGCTGCTCTGGATTTCTCTAACCTTGAACTTTCTTGGCACCATGACTCTATTTGTTCAGGACAGCACCCACACACAAGCTGGGGACTGAGGCTGAAGAGCACGTGAGCCTGGGACCAAGACGGGAGGAGGAGGATGTTGGCAGGGAACAGTGGAGAAAACCAGCAACTAGAGAAAACCAGCTGGAGAAAACCAGTAGTAGAGAAAACCAGCAAACAAATGAACATGGATAAAGGCAAAGTGAATTCAGGAGAGTGGGGTGGGCTGTGGATGGACAAGAGGAATGGGGACCACACTGAATATTTAACTAAACTGCAGTGAAAATGAATATTTTCCTAAAATGAAATTCCCAAACCAATTCTGCAAATCCCATGTTTCTGGAAATAAGAAGAGAACCAAGCCCTACTGTGCTCCTTGGATGAAAAGTTCCATCTTCACTTTAAAAGAAAAAAATTTATTTATTTATATTTGTGTGTGTGTGTGTGTGTGTGTGAGAGAGAGAGAGAGAGAGAGAGAGAGAGAGAGAGAGAGAGAGGGAGAGAGAGTCCCAAGCAAGCTCCACGCTGTCACCACAGAGCAGGGCTGGATCTTATGAACTGCAAGATCATGACCTGAACCAAAATCAAGAGTCAGACGCTTAACTGACTGAGCACCCAGGCGCCCCCCAAAATGAGTATTTTAATAAAAATAAGTCTTTTATGAAAAATGAGAAGTTAAAAAAACCATGAATGTGTTCAGAGTATTTCTCCCCCTAGTCTGACCCAGTTTAGATTATTTTCTTAGGACAGAATACTCAAAGTATTTTAAAGATTCTTGGCAAAAAAATCGCCAAACCAATACATATTTGTTACAAGAAAAAGGCAAATAGAGGGAACAGCACCGAACCAGGAGCTACACTGTTTTATTCTTGTTCTGGAACGAACCCATTATTACTGATTTCCCACATGATTTTTGGTCAAACCATTTCACTGATTAGGATCTCAGATTTAGTTAGTGAATACCCAGGATATTAGACTGGATTAGAAGTTTCTGTCCCATAATATCTCTGTCTACTCCCCCTACTCTGGAAGTTTAAATGGCACAAAGATGCACTGATTGACTCACTACCCTTTCTTGCTAGGGATAGTATCTATGTTTAGACATGATAAACACGTATACTTCATGCATATTTCACATGATACTCAAAATATGCCAAAGGCTTAACCGAATCTGAGATATGTATATCCTGAATTTCACACAATGGGTGTAATGCTTTCTCATATTAGTATAGTCTAGCCAAGAACTACCTCTTTTTTGCTTTGGAGTGGCAAGTGCCTGTCAGATACCGCACTACAAGGTGCTTTAGATATGATTTTAACAAGCACTTGATGAGATTTTATTGTTCCGTTTTTATAAATCACAATGGCAAGGAGAGGCTCAGATCTTTGCCATGATAGAAGTAGGACTTCAAATTGGATTTGCCTAACTCTAAAAGTCCCTTCAGCTAATTTATGAGTTGTTCGATGATTGTAGACTTTTTTTTTTTCTTTTAAGCACATCTGGACCATCATTCCAAATGTCTGTATGGTGTCTGGGAGTCAGACAGACCTGGTTTTGAATTTTGGTGTTAGCTGTGGGATTTCAATGAAGTAACTTAATTAACTCTAAATGTCTCTATCTGTCTAAATACTACTAACTTCAACAGGATCTAATAAGGTACTTCCTATAAAACACCTAACAAAGGCTGAGTGCTTAATAAACACTTGCTTTAAAAATAATCAGTTTTGGGGGCACCTGGGTGGCTCAACTCGTTGAGCATCCAACTTCGGATCAGGTCATGAGCCCGCATTAGGCTCGTTGCTGTCAGCACTGAGCCCCTCCGGATTTTCTGTCTCCTTTCTCTCTGTCCCTTTCCTGCTCAGGGGCGCTGGGCCCCCGCCCCCCCCGCGGGGATGGGAGGAATACACACAAACACTCTCTCTCTCTCAAAAATTAATAAACATTAAAAAGGTAAGTTTTCCCAACATGTTTGATTCAATGTATAATTCACATTCACAATAGTTGATAACAACAACCAGTTTTTCTTGATTTATGAAAGCACAGTGTTTTGGAGAGATTTTTAGCTCTTTCAGAGAGGTTTGCTTTAATCCAATTCCTTCTGAATTTATTTACTATGTTTCACATATCTGGTGGAGGTGGGTAGCTGAGGATTGGGGTGGAGTAGTTGACCCTTAAAAACCCAGCTAGATCTGTGATTTCTTGGACTCTAAGAAAGCTAGTGCATTTTACAAACACATAAATGTTTCTCCTACAGAGTAATGGCATTTGGGAAATGTTACGCATAGAAAATTATTCTCTATTCTTTGTTCCAGCCCACAGAGTCCCTCTCATTAAGAACTATTTTAATTATGACTAGAACTCCTCTTTGTCTGAACACCAAGCTGAAATGACCTGTCGCAAACTCAAAGTCACAGGTCCCATCCGTGCCTGTCACAGTAAGGCACCGGTTCCATTTTCTCTTTACTACCTACCTAGCCCACAGCACTGCTTTCAAAATACTGACTCCTATCCTCTTTACAGTGGAAGCTGCCACCAGCTACTTCAAAGGTGAAGACCGTGAAATCCAGCAAAAATCTGCCGAGTTGGCTAATTTTTCCAAACAGCAATGCCCCAATTCACATTTTATTAATTTACTATCTCTGCTCGTTCAGCTTTTATGTTTGCTATCTCTGCTGTTGTTTAGACACAAAAAAAGCTGAGCAAGGTCAACATGCTCCAAGGCTCTTAGACCATTAGGACAGTGCTTCCTAAACGGCATCGTGTCCGTTAGTTACTAGGGATTGTTAATTAAAATGCAGATTCCTGGGTCCCACATGAGATCCGCTGACTCAGAAGCTCTGTCGGGGCCCTCAAATCCACCATTCTACTGGAGTGACAATGTGGTCCTTGTACTGTCTGCCCGTGGACGGGAAGCATTGGGTGGGTCCTGACTTCACACAGTGGGCTCTGAAAATCGACATTACTCTCTAGCTGAAAGGGCATATATCAACTGCAGCAGGTAAACCCCATTTACAGTGGGCATTCAATATTTATGTGAATGAATGTATTTCCTATATCCTTTTTCTCTTGGAAATAACTAAACATGACCCTATGAAAGTTCTAGGAATCTAAATACTTTAGAAAAGGTTAAGCAACTGCACAAGGCACCCTAAAATAATATAAAGAAAATATTTCATCTTTTTCCTTTCCCCCTTTCTCTTTAGAGAATCATCAGAATCAATTCAAATTATGTTACTTACCTCAAACAGCAATTTGGGTTTGGCAATGTAATCTGTCCTTCTCTTAAAAGGGCTGATTATTAGATTCTGGCTACAGAGTAATAAGCAGATAATAAATGGCTTTTCAGATGAAATTTTTTTTTTTTTTTTTTTTTTTGTGGGCATGGAGGTTTATTTAATTACAGGACTAGTTTCTTGCCAAAAAGACGTATGCAACCACAAAA